TTAATTTCTGGCTGAGTATGACAATATTGGTTATATAAGAAAAAGTTTTATCTAAACTGCCATATGTCATGGTGTAAAATGAGAAGTGGAAATAGCCCGCCCTCTCACCCAGTTTATCAGCATTAATGCTGCTAAGTTAAAGCACATGAGAGAATCACAGCTGAGTAAATATTAAAGAAAAACAAAAAATGCTTTTGCTGGAACCACTACTAACACAGTAACCAGCAGTGGGCCAGCCAAGTCTTTAATTTTCATTACTCTTAATCCCTCCAACTTGTCAAAAGAAATGGGGTAGAAATCCCCTCAGTAAAATTTAGAAATCCTGTCAACAAACAAAAATTCCCTTTATGGTGAAATCCAGTTAAGAAAATGGTATCTGGCAGTTACTAACATACAAACACAGTCGTTATCTGCAAACACAGTTGTTTAAACAAAACAGATCACCATTACTCAAGCAGGCCCATTAATCACAATTCCACTAGCTATCAGCACTGAAAATTACCAGTGTTAGTAAATTTCCACCTCATTACCTTGATTTTTATTTAGAACCTTTCAGTGATGGTTCCCCTCCAACATCAGAAGTCACAAGTTAATCAAGCCACAAATTGAACAAAGAAAAACAATACATTCAAAGCTATCTTGGAAACGTAAATGCTTAGTACATTTTTGTTCATTCACAAAGTCCCTTTAAGCATTAATGTACTATATTCAAGACAATTTTCAAACCTTTGCTTCACAAACCATTAGCTGTAGCTATTCCAAGGAGTCCTGATGACACAGTGGGTGAGGACTTGCCTGTTAACCAGAAACCCACTAGCCATTCTGTGGGACAAAGGTGGGGTAGCCTTCAAGTTAGAGCCTTGGAAAGTCTGTAACATTGTACTCCATCCTGCAGGGTTGCTAGGAGTTGAATTGATAGCAACAAGCATAGCTATTTGACAATAATTGATACCAAGACACATCTGATACTCGGTCTTCTTTACTTCTTTTTAACGAACTAAATAATCTTGTCTTAATGAAAGACTGCTAGTTCTGGCTTACAATCTCACCCAGGAATGTTCTTGTCGAATGAAAGTACTTTCCAGCCCTCCAAAGAAAACATTCAGAAATGCTATATGTAAGGTACTTCCTGAAAATTTTCACTGTCAATCAGTTCTTTTTTTGTGCAGTGACTCTGTATTTCTTCGATCTTCTTTTGATGCTTTCTGGGTCATTCAATATATTGCCCACAGCATTTTTCAATATTGCAAACAGAAGTTTAAATTTGTTTTTCAATTCTCTCAGCTTGAGAAATGCAGAGAGTGCTTCCCTTTTTATTCTCCAATTCCAGCTCTCTGCATATTTTATTATAATACTTTGCTTTGTCTTCTTGAGTTGCCCTTTGGAATCAGTTCAGCTCTTTTACTTCAGCATATTTTCCCTTTGATTTGGTTTCTCGATGCTCTAGTGCAATTTTTAGAGTGTTTTCTGATATCCATTTTATTTTTTTCCTTTCTCCTCTTTGTAGAGCCTTTTTGCTCTCTTTATGGATGATAGATATCCTTGGTATCATCCCACAATTCATCTTGTCTTTGATCACTGGTGTTCAATGCCTCAAACCTATTTTTAAGAGGATCTTGAAATTCAGATGGAATAGATTCAAGATCATATCTTGTTTCTTGTAAAGTTCTTTTCATTTTCTTCAGCTGCAATATAAACTTGCATATGAGTAATTAGTCTGCCCCGACCTAGTTTTGACCGCCTGTATTAAGCATGTCCAACAATTCCCTCCAAAGATGTAGTCAGTATGATTCCTATGCAGCCCATCAGGTGAGATCCATGTGTAAATTCATCCTATGTGTCTTTTAACAAAGATATTTGCAATGAATAAACCATTGAAAATACAAAATTTGGTCATTCTATTTCCAGCCTCATTTTTATCACCAAGCCCATATTTTCCAACTACTATTCCTTCAACCTTTGCATTCCAGTCACCAGTTAACATTAATGCATCTTGATTACATGTTCGGTCAATTTCAGACTGCAAGATTTGTTAAAAATGCTCAATTTCTTCCTCTTTGGTTCCAGATATAGGAAAGTATATTTGAATGATGTAGTGTTAATGAGTCCTTCTTATCTGCATATGGATAATATTCTATCACTCACAACATTGTATTTCAAAGAATTGATGCTTTTGAGCTGTGGTGTTGGAGAAGAGCACTGAACAAGCCATGGATGGCCAAAATAACAAGCAAGTCTTGGAGAGGGGTAGGGTGGAGGATTGGCAAAGGAGAGGAAGACCCTCGACAAGATGGACTAGCATAGGGGAGCTCTGGTGGCCTACTAGCAAGGAGCTGCAACTACAATCCCAGAGGCACATGGTTCGAATCCACCAGATGCTCTGCCGGGAAAAGGAGGGACAATCTCCTCCTGTACCAGTCAGATCTGATTTGACGGCACACTCACACAAAAATAATAAATAAATAAATTTTAAAAAATTTTTTTTAAAAGATGGATTAACATGGTGACTGCTGCAAGGGGCTCTAGTGTGTCAGAAAATGTGAGGATGGCATAGGATAGGCCAGGGTTCACATCCACCGTTCTTAGGATCGCTGTGAGTTACTCAGCTCAACGGTGCCTAATAACAACATATGCAAGGCTGATTCTTAGAGACCTTCCAAAGTAAATGAAGACCAATCATTCAACAAATCTTAGTATACAACTCCTGTAGAAATGATGTAACAGAGAAATGCTTTAGGGCACTTCTATTCCATGGAGTCACTAGGGATGAAACCTGGACTTGGCTCCTAACCACAGCATAAGGTGTCTTACACCCATGGAAAGAGAATTTCTAGTGCAGAGCAGCAGATTGCTGGCACGACATGAATGAGAACTCTCACAGGACTTAGAATGGCCCACTGTGGACTGTGAGGGTGGGACCCGAAGCCACCCTCTCAGGAGTGGATGTAGAGCAGAAAAGAGGGGAGGGGAAAAGAAAGTGGTGGGAAGGGCTGAGTCACAGGGGTGATTTGCGTTTGAGAACAAGACAGCTTCAATCTGTGGTAAACAGAAATCTGAGTTTGTACATGGTCTCTGTGTGACTACATTTCAAATACTAATAACATCCATCTTGATAGGATCACCCTTTGATTCGATCCATTTGAAAAGGTGAAGGATACTGGGGCCTTCTTCCAAGGTTGATTGTGGTTAACTTACTTTAGAATCATAAGAAACAGGGTCACTGTGAGCTCCAGTAGTCCCTATCAATACTAAGATTGCTTCCATCATTATGCCAGCCAAATAAATGATCATCATTGGCACTGAGTGCATTGTACTGATTAACTTCATAGCTGGTCCTAGAACAGGCCTTCTAAGAACAACAGATCAGGCAGAAACATCAATGCCTCCATTCAAATAATGGGGTTAGTTCTCCCTCACCTTGGAGACAGTTAATTAGCTTCATCTAATCAAGGTGCTGCTAATGAATGATAAATTACATATGACAATAGGCATTATTGTTGCCGTTTCTAGCTGACTGGCCTCCCTCAGTGTGCATTTTGTTGTGTTTCCTGTTGAGGACATCTGGGCTGCCTGAATGCAAGCGGAGGTAAAGACAGTGAGCATGAATAGGAAGCCAACAAAACCCCACTTCCTGGAAGGGACAGCTGTTGTTTTTATCTGACAGGCACCCATCCCTCTTCTACAGGTAATGCCATCACTGTTCTTTATACAACAACCTTGTGCTTATTCCACATGGTTTTGTGGGGTCTCCAGGTAAAGTGCTTGTCCCCTTACCTGAAACTGAACCCAAGGAAAAATATGAATATTGACACAAAGAACAAGGGACTAAAAACAACTGAACAGTCAGCACAGAGGCAGTGCCTGGAAAATACTATCCATTATTTAGGTCCTATTCCTTAAATTCCTTGATGTCCTGATGGGCTGTCCTGTCTAGAGCTAGAGTTGTGAAACTTTTAAGCAGTGCCATAAATTATTCTATGGTTTCCTATTTTTCTTTAAATTAAGCAGGAGTGACTGTTGGATGAAGTGGGGGCAGAGGCTAACCAATGCAATTCCTTCTTCATTTCTATTTCCACTCGTTGTGTCAGAGATGAAGAAACTCAAAAGGATTGTAAGACTCACAATTGACATTACCAAGGCCTCTTGTTGATGTCCATCAACAAATGAATGGATAGAAAAATTATGGTATATCTAACTTACTTTGGACATGTAGTGAAGAGAGACCGGTCCTTAGAGAGGGACATCACGCTTGGGAGGGTGGAGGGACGGTGCAGGAGAGGAAGGTCCTCTATGAGGTGGATTGATTCAGTGACTGGGATAATTGGGATGGGAGTGTCAGAGACAGTGTGATTGGCACAGGACAGAGCGGAGT